CTTGTAGGTAATTGATGAGCTTGACTTTCAACATGTTAAATAGGAAGGAGATCACTGTCACTGTCACTGTCCTCCCGTTGTTCATTGATTTGCTCGAGTGGGCCCAGTAACGTCTCCATTGGAGACTTTGTTGTTACTGTGTTTGGCATATCGAATACATCATGGGTATCTTGCCAGGCTCTGCTGTGCGGGCGAGATACTCTCGGTAGCTTGCTGGGCTCTCCGAGAGGGGCGGAGGAATCGAACTCAGGTCGGCCATGTTGGCTGCGTGCAAGGTAAACGCCCTACCGCTGTGCTATCGCTCCAGCCCCAGGAAGGAGATACAGTTCTTATTTCCACAGTGTGAAAAGCAAGTGATATGCAAGGGATAAAAGATCATAATGATATGGGCTGGTCATTTGAGCCCCGCCAGGAGTGAGCCCTGAGCACAGTCAGGTTTGACCGTAACACCACAACTCCAAAAATGATGGTTCTGATAAAAGAGAAGAGTGGTTGAATTAAAAGGAAATATGCATGTCCAGTCTGTATTTAGAAAATAGAAGCTTTCATGAAAAAAAAAATGCTGTATGAAGTCACCTCTAGGAAGGGAACACTTCTGGATTTTCCTGCAAACCAGAAGTTACATCATGTGATATATTTGATCAGAGCTTCTTCTCTGCTTCAAACTCCTGGGAATAGTAAAACAGATGAGCTGCTGTGCATGACCATTGCTCTTTCTAAGAAATAGAAAGAGAAGAAAATAAAGACCAGTGGTCACTTGTAGTTTCAGTAAGTAACAACTAGTTCAACAAGGAAACACTTTTCTTAATATGTTTCTATTCATTGAATGTGGTTGCCCCCCCCCACCCCAGCCCTTTGGCTTTTTGGGTCACACCCGGTGATGCACAGGGGTTTCTTCTGTACTAAGAAATTACTCCTGGTGGTGCTCAGGGGACCATATGGGATGCTGGGAATCGAACCTGGGTCGGCCGCGTGCAAGAACCTGGCCTACACGCTGTGGTATCTCTCCAGTCCCAGTTGTGACACAAATGCAGGTTTGCTCTTCAGAGACGTGAGCTTCCACGAGCTTGCAGAGTTCCTCACACTTCTCTTGAACAACTCAGGTGTTCAGGAGAGGATCCTGGTGGACTTTTGCTAGTGTGATCAAAATGTGTACCTGGTCTCACGGCACCCCAGAGGGTGGTTGGAAGCGGAAACAGATGGGCTCACTTCCACAGCTGAGTGAGGCCGGGTCACCCTTCTCTGCATCTCAGGTACCCATGCTCGCTCATTTCTTCCAGAATCTCGCTGCTGCTTATTTGCAGGTTGGGTGAAGATCTCAGCATTCCCCTCCTCATACTCTTCAGGCTGACTCTCCTAGGCCAAGTTAAAACAGAGACTTGGGGTTTTTGATTTTGCATTGGAGATGTTTAAAGGAAAACCATTGTTTCTATTCCTTAGCACTAACTGGTCCTATCTTGGCCCCAGCCAATAAGGATTCATCTCCAAGACCTTCCTGACTGCTGGATCTAATCTCGCCCCCTGCCCCCTTTATATTCTCTTTCTTTTCTAAAAAAAAAAAAGTTTTTATTGAGGTACCGTAACTTACAGATTTATTCATAGCACCCAAGTTTACAATCATTAATGATCAAATTCCATGTACGCAATTTTCCAACATCAATCCCATCACCAGTATCAGGAAGATCACCCCTTCCTGGGCTCCGGGATCAGATGGACATGCCTGGGACCCAACTCAGGTCAGCACCATGCAAGCAAGGCAAGCGCCATGTCTGCTGTTCTCTTTCTTACCCTTTTCTTTCTTACCAGTTTTCAGTACCGATCATCAGTCAGTCACTTATTTATCTCATTATGTATCATTGTCTGACCACAGGATAGACGTTTCATCCATCAGCAAGGGCCTGGCATTTGTTGATTGACTCACAGAGGAATTAGACTGAGGGTTGGGAGTTATTATGACCTAGGTTAGAATGAAGATTTTCTTTTTCCCTTGGGTGACTCCCTTGCTTATAACATTGTCTTCATTTCCCCCCTTTTTCATGGGCACTGTTAACGTTACAGTCCTGTTAACATTAACGTCGCAGCGATACACCCTCTCTGCATCACCCCGGAGTATCGGCACCCTCTTGCTCGAGCCCTCTAAGCCTCTCCTTCCCTGCAGCAAGCGGCTTTCCTCTCACTCCAATGACTTTCCTTCCTTTTGAGCTGTTGATGGTGTGCTGGGGTCCCCGTGCTTGACAGCAGTGCCGAGGACTGAGCGGACAGTGGCCTGCCTCACACCCGGGAGATGTGGGCGGTATGGGGGATTGAATCAGGGCATCAGTGCATTCAGGGCACATGTGTTTTATCATTGAGTCACAATGCTGGGCCCCTCGAAAGGCTACCTCTGTAGGGGGCACACCCAGAAGTGCTTGGGACTACTGGTTCAGTGCTTGGGGGCTATTCCTGACTCAGTGCTTGGGGGGCTGTCCCCGTGGTGGACCATGCAATGCCAGGGATCACAGCAAGGCTTCCCACGTGCAAGGCATGTACTCCAGCCTGTTCTGTTATGCAAAAGGACCAGGGAGGTGGCTTGAAGGGCTGAGCATATGTTTTGCATGCACCAACACCAGGTTCGATTCCTGGGACCGCATGATTCCCCAAGCATCACAGGGTATGGTCTCCAAGCACTGTCCCCAGAGTTGTTCTGAACACCACTGGACGGGGTCCTCTTCCCACAATCCTCCCACCCCCCATAAAAACCAAAGCAAAACATACAATTGTCTCCAAGACAGTGTGAGAGAACTGGGGAGATAGCTCCAAGGGATGCAAGGCCTGTGTGAGGTTTCGAGTTCGATCCTTGACACTACCGGGTTCCTCTTCATCTGCTTACTGTGTGCTTCCCTATCCCCCCAACCAGCAGGGCCCAGTGGAGCCCCATAGATTCTCTACAGCACCAGGGAGGCCACTGCCCCCCAAAACACGGAGGGGACAGCACACAGAAGCAGAACTGTGTCCTGTGGTTCCATATAAGGGTGCTCTCTGCTTCAGAACTTCCATAGGAAGTGATGATGCTGGGAATGTCTTCCTGGAAATTAAAGCTGGTGGCTGAGAGCTCATTTCACATCATGAGGATTTGAGCCTATTTAAAAATACTGGCAATATTCTGGGGACTGGGAAATCGTACAGAAGGCAGGTGCTGGCCTTGCCTGTGCCTGACCGGAGCTTAATCTCCAGGGTTCCATGTGGTCCCCTAAAACACCACCGGAGTGATCTCTGAGCACAAGTGTAAACCCTGAGAACAGCTAGGTGTGGGCCCAAAACAAAACAACAAAAATATTGACAATATTTTAGAAAGATCAAACAGATGTCTCTGAAAAAAATTTTTTTTTCTGGTGAAATATTAAGATGGACTTTGGCATGAAAGAGAGGATGAGAAAGGGGTGAATAGAATGAAATAATTTCAAAGGTTCTCTCAGCTTCAACAATTGGCTGTTTACTTTCTTCTTGTCCTCTTATATGCAAATGAGTATGGAATCTCACAATAATAATTTTTCATGTTAACAAGGACTTGACTTTAGGTTTCAAAAGTGAATGTCTTAAATTTAAACTAATCAAATTTAGGGAAATTATAATGGTTGGGAAATAAATCACGTAATTTACCATACAGTGAAACTTAGTGTCAGCGGAGGGATGACTTTATAGACAAGTTTATTGTGGGCTGATGTTCATAAAAATTCTTTTCTTCGACATCATCTTAATTTTCTTTGTTTTAGTCGCCAAGAAAACTATATGCTTCTACATCTTGACAATTTCCAACAAAAACAAGCAACCTCATTGCGTAGCAGCTGTATATGGTCACAAGAAAGACGACCGTATATGGACTTTAAGGGTAAGTCCAGACACGGTAGAAGGGGTCGCATTGCAACGGGGTCAGGGCCTTGGGAACAGATTGGGGGAGAGGGTGGCACGGAGGAAGAAAACGAGCTTTTCTTGAGTGCTTTCCTGTGCAACACAATCTGTCATGTGCTTACCATGGTACCCAGAGAACAGCCCGCGGGGCCGCAGTGTGTTGATTCCAGTGCACTGGGAGACCTCGCTGCAGTAATTATTTTCTTTGTAATTAAGCGTAATTATTGTGAAATGTAGCTAGGGGCTTGTCCAGAGTGAAATCAAACAAGAATTTCCAGAACCCTCCCTGGGTCCTGTAGCAGCAAATGTCAAGAGGCTGGGTCAAAACATAACCAGTAATTACAGACAGAGCCGGAGCGGGAAGCGTGGGCAGTCAGACGCACTTCAAAGGGCTGCACGGGAGGTTGGGGACGTGTCCTTGGGAAGTCCTTGAAAAGCGAGTCACATCGGGATTGGGGCAGGAGCGAAGACCACGGCGAGGAAGGAGCCACAGCTTCCCGCCCGCTCAAGGAAACGCTCCCGAGGCCAGCTTGGCGATCAGGGTTCGGACTGGACCCCACCCGCTCACGGCCCCGTCCCTCCCCGCCAGCCCTTGCACGCCCGGGGCTCCGGCCAGCCCGGCCCTCGGCTCCCGCCCCGCCCACCGGCCCCAGCGCCTGGCTCCGCCCACCCGGCCTGCGCCGGTCCGCGCTCCGCCCGCCGTGGCTGGGCTGCGGCCGGCCCCGCCCCTCCCGATAGCCCCGCCCCTCGGGAGCCAGCCCCGCCCTCCCGGCGCCGACCACGCCCTCTCCGGCCGTCCCCCACGCCCACTCCGGCAGCCAGCCCCGCCCCTCCCGTTCGGAGCCCGCCCCCTCCCGCCAGCCCCGCCCCTCCGGGAGCCAGCCCCGCCCTCCCGGCGCCGACCACGCCCTCTCCGGCCGTCCCCCACGCCCGCTCCCGCAGCCAGCCCCGCCCCTCCCGGCGCCAACCACGCCCTCCGCAGACGTGAACCACGCCCACTCCCGCCGCCGGCCCCGCCCCCGCCCCCGGCCACGCCCCCTCCGCGCGCGGGGCCGGGGGCGGGGCGGGCCGGGAGCTGCGGCGCGCGCCGGGCGGGGATCCTCGGCCGAGTTACGCGAAAGTCGGGCCAGTTCCTGGAGTTCGGGCTCGGCCGCCGGTGGTCGCCAGGCCCTCGCCGCCCGCCCGCCGGACCCCCTCCCGGCCCTCGCCATGGAGCAGCCGCCCGCGCCCAAGAGGTACGGGGTCCCGGGTCGGCGCGGGCCGGCGAGGCCGGGCGGGAGCTGCGGGGCCTGCGGGCGCGCCGGGGCGGGAGGCGGCCGCGGTGTCCACGCGGCGGCCGGGGCCGGCGGGCAGGGCCGGGCCAGGCGCGGGGGCCGGGCGGGCGGCGGGACCGGCGGGCTGCGGGTCCTTCCAGCTCGCGGGGCCTTTGCTGCCCCGATCCCGAGTGGGCAGCGGGCGGGCGCGTGCTGGCCCGTGGCAGGCCCAGCCGCTTGCAAAAGTCGCCCTGGACGCTGCCCGCTGACAGGTGCTCCTGCCCCCACCCCCGGCCCCCGAATTCTAAGAAAATTTGCGTTAAATGAGAACCCCACCCCCAGGCACTGTTCTTCTTCAGCTTTCTCTGTTGATCTAGGGGACAAATGACCATCACGACCATGACCATCCTGTTGTTCGTGGATTGCCTCGACCGGGCCCCAGTGACGTCTCCTTCGTCCTAGCCCTGAGATTTTTTTAAAAAGTGCCACATTCAAGGCTCTTTCAGGGCTAGGAGAATGAGACCCATCCTTGTTACTGGTATTTGGCATCTTGGGTACAACACGGGGAGTTTGCCAGACTCTGCCGTGTGGGCAGGTCACATTTGGTAGCCTGCCAGGTTGTCCAAAGTAGGAATGGGATAATAAGATGTCCAAAACCCTATTTTGGCATTTTCCTACTGGCGCGTGTTGGCCCTGGAGGCCAGGTGCTTCGGCTCTGCGCCCTGGGATCGATCACCCTCGCGAGCTCGGTGCACGGTGCATTTCGGGCCCCCTCACGGGCATGGGCATCCCACAGGCTCGCTCCCACGTGCCAGTCGGATTGTTCACCGGGTCTGACCCCCACCTCCCCACACCCCCTACCCCCAGAAGAGGCACCATGGAGGCACCAGGTGTGCTGGAGTCAGGTGGGCACCGGGGGAGCGACTGTGAATCGTGACCCGGAGGCCTGGACACCACCTGTTCAGGTGGAATGGAAGAGGCGTGTGGAGGGGTTCCCCAAGGAGGCCTGTTGTCACACAGAGCCACCAAGATGCCTCTCTGCTGCTGTTGACGGGCCTACCAGGTTTCAGCACCATAGAGGAAGATAGGAAGCGCGACCCCCCACCTTTACTGTTTGGGGGGCAACAGGCTGTAAGGGGATCAGCTCTGAAGCCAAGAAGCGATTTCCACTGGTTGACCCCGGAGCTCCATCCATCTCTCTCCCTCCTGCCCCCTGGTTGTTGTGGGCAGGGAACCCCATGTGTCAGGGGAATTCGCTTTTCTCTCGCTGTCACAATTCCATGAGCACTTTGATTTTTCATTGTGGTGCCTGCACCTTTCACAGACTTGTTTTTGCCAAAGGCTCTTCCATTGATTCAAGGTCAGAGTGTGTGTGTGTGTGTGTGTGTGTGTGTGTGTGCGCGTGTGCGCGCGTGTGCTACGGTTTACTCCTGGCTCTGCACTCAGGGATCTTCTTCTGGCAGTGCTCAGGGGACCACGTGGGGAGTCAGATATTGAATCTGGAATCAGCCAAGTGCCCTCCCTTCTATACTATCTCTCCGGCCCCCAGTGGCAGCATTTTTGAAGAGCAGAAAATGTGTGCTAATAATTCCTCATGCTGACATCTCTCTTAAACTGTTTTCTTTCTGGTTATTATTTCTCTTGGACCATTCCCGGCGGTGCTCAGGGGCTACTCCTGGCCCGGGAATTAGGGGTTGCTCCTGGGGGTTGCCGTGTGGTGTTGGCCACTGAACCTGGGTGTCCCACAGGCATAGCCCGGCCTGTTGTATGTTCTCTCTGGCTTGTGTTTTCATTTTTCAGAGTATCATTGACTCCTCTGAGCATCTCTGTTGAGTGGGCCAGACCTGAGGCCCAGCTGGTCTCAGGGAAGGCTGGGACAGGGGTAACTCTCCTGGGATTTTTGTGTTACCCTTACTGATCATGGCCGTGTGATACTAAAATACCAGGTCATCCTGTTTTCCGGGACTTAGCACTTTCCATCTCTCTGTTTTGTTGCCCTGAGACCAGCTTCCTCTGTTGGGACTAAATTCAGTTTCTTCATCTGTAAAATGGGAGGGTTGGACTGGCCGTGCTCCCCGATATACTCAGTGTTGTCTGTGCTTCTGGAACGGAGCCCGGCGAGGATCACTCACTCCCTTGGTCAAGAGGACGGGCTGCCGGTGGCTCGCTGTGCAGGGTTCCGTTCCTCTGCCGTGGTCCTTGGCAAATCCCTCCTGCCATTCCTGGCCCCGGGTCCCCGCCGCTGGGATCATCTGCCGGAGAGGCACTGCTCTGGGGTTCACACGTCCCCACTTCGGTTGCTGATGCACAGTCTGTGATGTGGGGCTGCTGCTCAGCTGGCGCTCACCCCACTTCTCTCTGCTGTTGCTGTCATGGTGGTGTGACTGCCGTGTCCCCGCGACGTGGTCACCTTGCCGGGAGCCACACTTTGGCTGATGAGTTGCCTGGCCCTTGGTGTCACACCTGGTTGTGGTGCGTTTGTGTCACGCACTTGGGTGCTGGCTCGGGGATCAGAGAGCCCACATGGCTCGCCCTGAGGGGGGCGAGCGTGGGGACGGAACCCGTCGTTCTTGCGTGTCGTGCCGGCTCTGCCGCGGAGCCACCTGCCCGCGCCCGCGGTGGCGGTGACTTTCTCGGCGCTCATTCTTGCATTCTTGTACTCCTGTTTGTTTCCTGTCTGTGCCGGGTCAGATCACATGTTCCGCCAGAAACCTTGTGCGTGTTTCCCCCGTTCTGCTTGGTTTACGTTTCTGCTCTGATCCGGCTGCTTCGGTGGTTCTGACTTCAGGGGCAGGAGATGGTACAGTGATGAAGGCACATGCCAGACATCCGGTGCCACATGGTCCTGGGGCATCTCTGGGGCAGCCCTGGAGACCCCAGAGCACTGTCAGGGTGGCACTTCCACAGTCTCATGTCCTCAGGCCCTGGCATTCTGGCCTGGCGTGCCGAGAATCACCGGGAGGCCCCAGAACTCCTGAGCGCTGTTTGGTAGACCCATTGCCAGTCTCCCCCCAGATGTTTTTTGGGCTGTTGAAACCTCTTCACAGCAGAAAGGCTGTGCTGGGTACAGAGTCAGTCCCAGGGCCAGGGCCCAGGAGCAGGGTCCTGGCTCCCTCACTGATTCTGCTTGCTGCCCTCCAGAACTCTCACGGGAGGTGGCGTTCTGCCAGGGAAGCTCTGATGGGTCTTGCTGAGCCGTCTGCCCCTTCCGTCAGAAAGCCTTACAAGAATGTTTGTGCACTTATTCATTTTTTAATGGGGATATTCATCTACTTAGAGTTGGGGTCCCTCTCACTTGTCTCAGCCTTTAGCTCCAGATTCTGTTACTGTCCCAGAAGAAAGTGTCCCCGCAAAGATACCCTTTTCTGGTTGGGGTAGGAGGCACATCTGGTGGTGCTCAGGGATCACTTCTGGGGGGCTCAAGGGACCGTATGGGGTGCCAGGGATCAAACCCCGGCCAGGTGTGTGCAAGGCAAGTTCCTCACCTGCTGTCCTTTCCTGCCCCTTCCCTGTTCTTTGTACGGGTCTAGGCTGTGGGTGTTGCTGGCCGAGATTGCCGGGGGTCCGATCCGAGGAAGCTTGTCCTTTGCCACCGAGCACCTCCCTAGGCCCCGGTGCTCCCAGCTCCATATTCCCTTAAGGAGTGTGTGCTGTTTCATTTGCAGGAATATATTTTTTATTCTTCTCTGCTTCAAAGGGCTGGAGCGATAGCACAGCGGTAGGGCGTTTGCCTTGCACGCAGCCAACATGGCCGACCTGAGTTCGATTCCTCCGCCCCTCTCGGAGAGCCCGGCGAGCTACCTGTGACATATTCAATATGCCGAGCACAGTAAAAACAGTCTCACAATGGAGACGTTACTGGGCCCGCTCGAGCAAGTCGATGAATAACGGGAGGACCGTGATACAGTGATACTGCTTCAAAAGCATCTTGTTGGAGTTCTTCGTCTAAGAGATGTCTCTGTACTACTAGTAGGTGCTGTTTGAGTACATGCCATTGTTACATCTTTTTTTTTTTAAGTACAAAATTTTATGTTCTTTTAGGTCTTTGGACTATACCTGGTGGTGCTAAGGGCTTGTTTCTGGCTCTCTGCTCAGACCCCTTCTGCCGGGGCTCAGGGGAACACATGTGGTGCAGGGATTGATCCTGGGTTAACCGTAACGCAAAACAGGAGCCCAGTGATGGGGACTATTCAGTAAATATTTTTTTTCCCTTTTATTTATTTATTTTTTGGGGTCATACTCTGAGATGCTTTGGGATTGCTCCTGGCTCTGCACTCAGGAATTACTCCTGGCAGTGCTTGGAGGACCCTATGGGATGCTGGGAATCAGACCCAGGCTGGCCACATGCAAGGCAAATGCCCTTCCTGCTGTGCTATTGCTCCAGCCCGAATTCAGTAAGTCTTGATGTGTTACCACTTAGCCTCCGGCATCAAATAGTGCCAGTCCAGGTGAAGTGTCTCAGATTCTCCCTCCTGTTTCCCGTACACGTGTCACTGCCTCGTGGTTTTCGAGTCATGTTCTTCCATGTGCTAGGGTGAGGCTGTGACTGACCCTGAGTGCCGCTTCTCAGGGTGCTGCTTCTCTCCTGGGGAGAGGGTCAGCTGTGCCCCCAGCTCTAGGAATCACCCCCAAGGTCTGCCTGCCCTCTTTGCATCGACTCAGTGGCCCCGCAAAGGCAGTTATCAAAAAGGGTCCCTGGGCATGGCCCCTCACACCACTGCCGTGGGGTCCCAGGGGAATTGGTAGACACCCCCCCCCCACTAGCCCTTATCAGGGCTCTTGAAAGTTCTATCAAAAGGAAGCCCTCTGGAAAGGGAGCCCCCCCGAGAATGGTGATTCATCACTTACATTTTGGGAGGTTAAGTGTGGATTGGGTTTCTTTGTAGGAAAACTGCTAGTGGGAGCAGAAAGTGACCACAGAGTAGGTGAGTGTTGAGGGGTAGACAAGGAACTGACCTGGACAAGGGCTGGCCTGGCCCCTG